ATGGCGCCGAACGCGCCGAACAAAATTCTACTGGCGCATGCGCAGCAAAATGCCCCTCTGCTGTGCTGCAACGTTTTTACCGCGATTGAAAACAATAAATATAAAAGCACAAATCTAAAAAAACATGTTTTCCTGACGGAAGTACTTACCGCTATTTTGATGGTTAGCTTTTCCAAAAGGCGTAAAATTTGAATTTTACAACGCCCTCGATTGGCCGCCGGCGCATAAAACCCCAAATAGTACATGCGCCAAGCTTCACTAACCGAATTTTCTAATGCCTGAAAAGTTTTGTTAAAAAATCTGGAAGTCGAAGACACTTCATCTTGGCCGAACAGGAAAATCGTTGTTGAAAGAAGCTCACTTGAACTGTTGGCTATAAGCACCAAGTAATGGTATGCAACCCCGAGATTAGATGCATTTTAAGGTTATTATTAAACCATGACTTGTTTTTCTTGTTTTGTTGAATGAATTGTTAATTTTTTGTACTCTGCATCGTGCAAACATTTTCGGGCCTTATATACAATTATTGAATTTTGTTCCACAGAATCTACAGTATCTGTGAGCAAGCTGCAATGTGCAGCACCATCTAATGGATTTTTTTCTTTCTTTAGTACCCCATTAAAACAGCCTAAGACAGAAAGGGAACAAAAGGTTAAAAGAAAATTAGCTCTTGGACAGCTGGTCCATAACAGAAGGAATCATCAGAAGGGGATATTGAGCAAGAATGTTGATGCTGCAGACAGTTCAACCAAAGAATCTGAGGTAATATCATTAAAGATGTTTCAACTTTTCTGACTTATCTGTAATTATCACTTCATAGATTGATTAAAGAGATTCCATGTTTTACAGTGTCTCAGTCCAGTAATACATCACAGATGATTGTTTGATTGATTAAATCTTGAGCCACTGAGAAAGATATACATAATAAATGTATGTTTTGAGGAAGTGAGAAAAACTTGTTGAAATTTAAAGTCATTTCCCCCAAATCTTGTCTTTATCAATAGCTGAGCCATTCAGATTACAGAAGCTCAGGGAATGAATCAGACCTTGATGGGTGTGTTGTGGAACACTCCCAAAGTCAAGACTTGGTAAGTAGTATTTGTTAATTACACTTCAGTGCTAATCTTGATCATGTGTATGAAATTCTTAGATGCTTGGTGAAGATTATCACAGCTCTGGATATGGGCTATGGGATGTGGTTGATGGACAAAAGAAAATGTCTGATTGTTTGATTAATTAAATCTTGAGCCACTGAGAAAGATGTACATGTGAATGTATGTTTTGAAGAAGTGAGGACAACTTTTATTGGAATTTTAAATAAAGTTTTCCCCCAAACCTTGTCTTTATCACTAGTTCAGCAATTCAGATAGCAGAAGCTCTGGGGATGAATCAGACCTTGACGAGTTTGTTGTGGAAGACTCCCAAAGTCAAGACTTGGTTAGTGGTACTTGATAATCACACTTTTGTTGTTATTCTCTTTTGTTCACAATGCTGTGTAACGGACCACTTCAAGGATGCGGTGACACATTGTTGTCGCAGAACTTCCTTTCTTGTTTCTTTCACAACCTTACATACATTGTGTTACAAGAAAGATAATAAACAAAATAAAAAAATAAACAAAATATGGTTTCCAAGATTAATCTACCATCTTCTTGAGTGTGTACATGTAAATATCTCTCATGAACAAACACACCAATGAACCTACAGTGTACATAATTGTACAATAAATGCAAAGCATGAGTATTGTATTGGAAATATTTGCTGTCAAAGAAAAGCCTATTGATCTTACTGTTTAATGATATTAATACATGGGTTCCTAAACTACTACAGGCTGAAGCTTCCCCTTATTTTTAAAAGCCAACCAGAGAAGAATTGTTTGTGCGATATTTGGAGGTAATATTGAACAGTATTGTGGATGAAGAATTTTCATCATCATTACAGAACTCAAATGGTAAATATTTGATAAATTCTAGATACTTTAAACTTTACGACCTTTTATGTTAGCTTTATTTATTTGTGACTTTATTAAATGGCGTTCCCAAGAAGAATGCAGTAACTCACACTTCTATACTATACTATTAAATACTGTATTTCATCATTAAATTTTTTTCCTCAATGATGCCATGGATTGACAAAAGCCTGGTAGCTGTTATTTGATACAGAAATTCAGGTCTCCATTGAAATCACTGTTGTTACTCTTTCTTGGTAGATTTTAGGAATATTGTAGTTTGAAGAAAATACTGTACCTACCTCATAAATCAACAAAATGACATTTATTATTGTTCTACAAATTATTGAAAACTGATGCAATGAAAGTACATGTACTGGTATACCGGTTGTCACTTGATGAACCTGTTGCTGTTGTCATTTACTTCTGAATTTTTATTTTGAAATACATGCACATGTATGTGTATATATGCACCATCGCATGAATGCTGCTTTGGAAACACTGAAAAGGTTAGAAACACTGGTGTTTAATTGAGAAAACGTCAGAGTGGTATTCCAAATTTGACAAACACTTCTCTTACCCAACTTTACAAACTGAATATAGCCTATACAGTCTAGAGTTCTTTTTTTATTAAAAATTTTGCTGTAAAAAATTGAATTTTGATGACATGCTCAGTGCTGTTGCTTCATAAACTTTCCCTTTCAATGTAAAAGCAAAGA